GTGTGAGTCCGAGAGGACAGACGCTGGCCCACCCAGTCTTGCATGCGACCGGCTATTGGCAGACCTGAACGGACAGCCGTCTCTAGAGCTTCCTTATGAAAGGTCGTGGAAGGACAAGTAGGCTTTGGCAGATTCCAGTGCTGGGTGGGTCTGAGTTGAGCCAAGACTGGAAGGTGGCCGCCCCTCTTCCATTTGCCGAGCTGAAGATCCTTGCACGGCCGAGACTGCTTTGCCAGGCCCTTGGCCGAGGCTTCTGAAGTGAGCAGGAAGTCAATTTGTGATCCCTGACCATTCAGGAAGAAAGTGTGACCTGCACCACTAGACCATGTGTTAAGAGCTACCAACCGATGGGAGGAGACTAAGGCTTGGAACGATTCATCCTGCATCTGAGTTTGCTCTGGCTTGGTGCTACACTGACCTACCAGACCCTCCTGCGGGGTCAGTCGAGCATTAAAGTCTCCTGCCAAGAGAAAAGTATCTCGCGCTGGAATGGCCCGTATCGCAGCCGACAGATCGCGGAGCAGGTGTGAGCGGTCATCCTTGTTCTGCTGTGGAGTCTTCTTAGAAGACCAGGCATGTTGGTAAACCGCTAGTACATGCACACGAGCCCCAAGCCACGGGAAGATGACCTGAATGAGCCTTCCCCGGCGTTGCTCGCGCCATCTTATCTTCTGCTTGTCTATCTGCGGAGAGAGAAGAACCATGACGCCGTCCGCTCGGCTTGTGTCGTGAACAGCCGGCTGCGTGGCAGCGCCTTGCTTGGGGCGTTGCCCTGAAGTGGCTTTACCTTTAGGTGCTCGAGCAGCCCCTTTTGTGGCGGAGCTTACGCAGTGCCAGCCTTCGACATCAAATTCTGCTGTCTCACTCCAGTGGGTTTCCTGAAGGACAAGAATGTCACAGACTGACTTGGCCTCCGTGCGAAGCCATGTCTTCACTTCTGCCCATTGTTGCATGCCAAGGTGCCCTGCATTCCAGGAAAGAACACGAAGAGACTTGCTGGCACGACCGCCTCTCGGGCGCGAGCGGAAACTGGCGGAGAAACCTGAGGGACCTGAAGGAGAAATCGTGGAGCTAGGCTGCACTGGGAGGGGGGGAGGGGAGGGGGGGGTGAGTCCACTGCGACGCAGATGTTCAGGCGTCAACGTACCATTCCGGTACGGGATGCTTTCTTGTGTTCTATGAACCTTATTGCAAGCCTTGCGAAAGGCCTTCTTGCGAATGCTCTCAAATGAATGCTGGTGCATTGGCGATTGCGCCGTCCGCTAGTTTCGCCGGAAAGAGAGAACTCGAACCGACTCCTTTCACCCTGCGGAAAAGGTGAAAACCACTACCGCTTACCTCATGCCAAGGTTGTATAACTGCAGACAGAGGTCCGGGAATTGGGACCCGGTAGATCACAGCGACACGCGGCTCCGGGAACAGCTATGGCTCAGTAAGAGGACGGTCCCTTAAGCTTCGCAGAAGGGGCACGTTGCGAGCCTCTAGCGTTGGTACCCAGAGCCTTGTTAGCAAAGCTACACAGCCTGCTGTGATCCATAGCGGCTACAACAACAACAACGACAACAACAAGAACAAGAACAAGAACAACAACAAGAACAACAACAACAACAACAACAACAACAACAACATCAAGGACGATTGCTACCACAACTCCACGAAAGCCAACAGAAACTAACGCAGGATAGAACCAAGATGCCACTGTCCCACTCCAGCTTGCCCCGGATCGTCAACGAAGCAAGCTCGGGTGGGGACCAATCAAGGAGCCAATGCTCGTCTGCAGGCACCACGCAGTTGCTGCCCGCGGTGCAGCGGTTCGGCATGGAGCTCCTCGTGACAATCTATTCTGGTAACCATCCTATTTAGAGAAACGGAAGGACACGGCAACAAAGACAATTGCGACCAAAAACTATCGCCTCGCGATTACCACTGCCTTGAGAGGTACAAGCCAGAAAAAGACATGGAAGCAGCAGCGAAAGCCGCTCGTCTTGGTCCTGAAAATCTGAACCCTTATAAGTTCTAACAAATCGTGCAGACAGTCGGGGCTCCAGCGGTTTGGGCTCGCCGCGCCGACACGGAGAGTCACCAGATCAGCTAACAGCCAAAGACAGGGCAGAAAGGCCATGGCGCCAGACTGCTAGGCGAAGCGCTCGCCTGTGAATTGCCGGGGCGGGGGGGGGGGGGCTGTTGCAGGCGAGCGCTGCCCTTAAGGAAGGCAGGCGCTGCAGCCACAAAACTATCGCTGCTATGGGTGTGGCTGTGGCCAAATGCAGACCAGGTCGAGACCAGCAATGCAAGAGCAATCACCTGGTATCGACATGCGTCATCGTCCTGAAAAGCGGACCGAACTTGGCTATGCCCTCGTGCCTCCGGTTCTTCTGCTTTCAGCTCGTTTTACTAGCCGGGTAGCTCTGGCGTCGGTAGTGATGTCGTCGTAGTCACGGCAGTAGCAACCCTAGCAATAGCCGCGGCAGTAGCAGCAGCAGCAGCAGTATAGGGAGATGTGACTAATCGCAGCAGTCGGTAGATTAGTGGTCAGCATGGCAGCAGCAGATGCAGCAGCAGCTACACGAGAACACACAGCAGCAGCAACCGTGGTCGTTGCCAAAGCGACAGCAGCAGCAGCAGCAGCAAAAGCTTCAGCATCAGCAGCAGGAGCAGGCATAGGAGTCGGAGTCGAATTCGGATTCGGATTCGTTGGCGTAGTAGTAGGAGTACTAGCTATTGTGGTAAAATAGTAGCCGTCGTCGTGGTGGTGGTGGTGGTAGTGGTGGTAGTGGTGGTAGTAGTACTAACGTACCTGTAGCCGTCGTCGTAGTACTATCATCTCGTACTCACCAGAATGTGTTCCGTGCTATTTGACATTATCGTCATCGTCATTGTCCCTTTCATGATCAGCATCAACACCATCTGCATCAACGTAACCATTCATCTTTGTGTACAGGAACATGCTGCACTGTCTCGGAGACTTCTGTCGAAGATCCTATCTTCGTGTAGGTGAACAGAGCGGATGGTCAATGAAGCGCAATTTGTTCTTTTGTCTTTCAAGCTGACGATCTGAGTGGGCGGTCTCTTGAGATGAACAAGGCCTTGAAATTAACGAGCACTGACAGTCCCGACCTCATGCTGGAGTTGCATCCACCGCCAAGGCTTGGGGTGGAAGGCTTAAACACGAGGAAAGCTGTTCTGCCAACTGGTAAAGACTTGTTCATCGCCAGGATGGAGTCCGCAGGCTATGGGCTGGAACGTTAGACTTTGCAGTGTGTGGGTAGAGCGCATGCGAATTAAGTTTGAGCTTCTGCAGGCGGAGCAATCCAAACACCAGTCGGTCGAGGAATGTCTTTGTGAATTCTACCTACCTACGACCTTAGCGATGAGAGCTTGTGGTGCTTGACTCTTGACGAATTTCAGGGTCATGCTTCTCTTGAAATGCAGAGGCCATCGCTCACAAGTACTGGGTATAACAGGACATTTTACTAAACTACGGTATCCCTAGATGCAGAACAGCGCCTCAGGTGATCTAAAGCAAACATTTCGGAACACTCGACCCCACCCACAAGGCACCGTCAACCTAAACTTGGGAATATCTTCAATCCATGGCAGCGCATAGGAGCCGCATGCCAGCTGGTCAGGTCATTCATTCCTCGCGAAAAAGCAGGTTGATTTGACAACGGTCTTACAATGCGTTTACAAGGGTTTGTTTCATAGAATATCGAGAAATGACCACGGGCGCTCGTATCCAATTCAATGCGGTCTCCCCAAAACCCGTGTTGACAACTACCTGACGCCCTCCACTGTCCCTCCGGCGGAAGTCCAAACCTGTGTAAGTCCACTGCCCAGCAACATAACCCAACACCCCGGTGTCATCACACTGTGTGCTGGGTTGAGCTTATGGTATTTGCCAGGGCTGCTGTTTACAGAAAGCGGACAGGGCTGTTTACTCCAGTCCCGAATGGGCATCTCAACCCTAAATCACGAACGATCTCCATGCTGGCAACCGCATCCTCTGCAGGCACTGCAGGAACTGGACCCATGTCCTCATTGACCACATGCGCAAGGCGATTGGAATTAAGGTTTAGCGATTTGGGGTTTATGGTTCGGAATTTGCGGATGAAGAAGTCTTATAGGCTGTACGTTGAACTCAGACTGACGAATACTCACTGGTTGTGCAGGCAAGATTGTGGTAGACTGCGACACACCTCCCATGGACTGCGACTTTTTGAAAGCCCCTGAAATATGACTCAATAATATCTGTACTTTCAGCATTGGGCGGGCCGGGTTCGGAGCTCGAAGTGAACATGGGGTCACGGCTGTGCTTGCTTTCATGGGATGGCTTTTCTGCCCATACCTACGGACCTACTGTGTAGAGAGGCTCGTTCGGGAAACGTAGAAAATGCAGAAAAACTTAAGGTCAAGGCCAGCACAAAAAGTCAAAAGGAGAACACGATGCACATCAAGCCCACAGCAACGACACTAATAGGAAGGTTCCGTAAGTGGTAAGTTCAGTGCAAGTAACGAAAACGAAGTGTCTCGAAGTGCCAACGACACACACACACACACACCGACAGCGTTGAGCTACTGCTCCTCCTGCTCCTGCTCCTGCTGACAAGCCACCACGACCGTATATTGATCCATAGACGTTGCTATCAACACCATCCCCCTGGATCATAGGCTACACGACAGGACCCCACTCGAGAATCCTTTCATCTGTCAGCGCCAGCCCGGTGTGGAATCATGTCTGGACATCGGTACTCATGGCATAGGCAGCGAAATTAATGCCTGCCAAGCGTGCCGATGTTGTAACTGCTTCAGCTGTAACACGGGAACGCTCACGAGTCACAACGCATGACCTCGGGTCAAGCCCCTTCAACAAATTCTGGATTGTGGCTTACCGGTGCCGCCTTATTTTCCTTGTCATTTTGACAGCCGGCTGCATTCTTGGCTGCATCTCGGTGTTCTTAGCTCTTGCGCGGGCAGCTGCGTCTTGACGATTTCTGAGGGTCTCAGCTTCTGCTGCTTGGCCGAACTTGTCGGCCATACAGCACCCCAAGACGTCCACTCGCTTGCCCAAAGATGCACTCCCTCAGGCCGACTTTGAGGGGTGTTTTCTGGCTGACCGTGCCATCCGCGTTCTCGAGACTGCTAGCCAAGGCTGGGACTGCACATGCCTCGCTGCGAGTGCTTACGGCGACCGTTGCCCCCGACGTGGCACTGGCAGGCTGAAAGGAATCGCCAACTCCCATCGCCTTCTCCAGAAAGCCCATTCGGTGTTTTGGCGAGGCAACCTGTTCCCCTTCAGCCTGTTTGGGTGCCTGCTTCCCATCATCGCACAGACCGAACTGCCGCTCCAGTCCATTCACACGCTCAACCAAATCACACTTTTCGGTCTCGAGCCTGTCCACTTTCCACATGTACCGCTCTGTTTTTAAGTTTTCGGTACCGACTTGATGCTGCAGGCCATCCACACGGGCGACAAACCTCTTTGCGAACTCCCACGCGTCACGCGCGGTCTTCTCGACAGAGTTCAATCGCTCGAGCGTCACCGACTCCCGCTGCACAAGCTGCTCCAGATGTCTCAGGCGTTGCATGAAAGGCACCTGACTCATGTCCTCATCCACAATTGTTTCATCCGTCCCGCCTATGACCTGCTCAAGGTTGTCCATGCGGTCCTGGACGCAATCGTGCCGCTCGATATGCTGCGACAGCTTGTTGTCGAGGTCCAGGAACATCTCTGTACATGTAGCAGCCTCATCTTCGAGTTGCTTCTGAAGAGCAAACTGTTTTTGCTCCATTTCCTGCTGTCTCAGCGCCTTCTATGTGAAGCTGGCGTAGAGCTCGTCGGTCTTCTGCTCGAGTTTGGCCAACTTCTGCAGCAAAGTAGCAATGTCACAGCTGCGCACCTCTTGCTGCAGCTGGTTCTTGGCCTCGAGCTGCTTGTCTTCGAGGCTGCTCAATTTAGCTTCATGTCTTGGCCGCTTTGACTCTGGTTCCGACTTCCCAACCATTACCCCTGCGGCACAGCATTCAAGTCCTCGGTGCACTTGCCGCCTTGCTCTAGGGGCCTTAGGGACAGATCTTCCTGCGTCTGCTTCACTCGCTGTTGCGCGTCTCGACGCTGAAGCTACCTCTGAATCGACAGCCCAGAAGTAGCCCTTGGAGGCTTGGAGGGCTAGTAGCAACAACAGGACCAGCATCCTGTTGTCACTGGCGATGCAACTTGTATGCAGCTATGTCATGGCAGTCCACGTACAGACACATCACCAACACACTTGCCTATGTACACCAACACATTGCTGCAAGCAGACTGGCAAGCAATCGTGCCGCCATTGCCGTTTTGCTACCACTCGGGTTGTGGCATTGCAATCACAGTCCTTCGCCACCCACTATCCTGCTACTCTCGCTGTTCTGTACTTGAAGTACTTCTTTGTTACAACGGCCAATCTGCATGCGAGCATGCAGGCATCAACATCGTATCCACGATCAGCATTAGCACGTTCTTGCAAACGGCAGTAAAAACAGATGACTACACGACTATTCTTCTTACCAGCAAGTTGACAGTGTTGGGCGCAGTCTCGCCACTACGGTTGCTGTTGCCCAACGTATAAGCTATTGCTATCGCTTGTCCGATCCGCCCGTAAGTGTTCTGGTGCTCTGCTTCTGCTGACCCCAGTATCGACCTGGCTGGTAAGGGGTCCAGGCTATGTCTAGCTTCGGTCGCCGGGAGACTTTCCGTGCTAAGTACCATGCAAAGTGTTCGGGGACTGTGAAGGACAACTGACACATGAGCGGCATCACGAGCCATCGTTTTGGGATTAGGGTCAGGACTTAGGTTGGGCGCTATCGGGTTGGAGTTTCAAGCACATTGCTTCGGGTTCAGGTCGTCTAGCCGTGCATTTGCACTCCCTAGGGTCAGACCTGATCCGACGTCGTACCCGGAGCCGTAGACGTAGTGTCCTGGCTTCAGGTCTTCGTGGGACATGGCAGAACGCGACAGATCCCACCTTTAGCCGCTGGGAGTTACATGGGAAACCGCTACTGATGCGTTTGGGAAACACTCCAACCCAAAGCACACTCGATGCTCAGATGCAGATGGGAACGCCCACCAACCTCTGAGACCCAAAAAACTCTCACAACGAAAGCTCCTGATGTGACTTGTCACGCTTCATGATTAACAGCAGTCCTTCTGAACAACTCGGAAAATCTTGCAGACAATCAAATCCTGAAAGCCGTTCGAGGATTTTCGACCAGTGCGACTAGGGACCCCCGCACCCCCTGCACGCCCAATCGAAGGCTCAGGCAGCCAGTCTGAAACGCCAAATCCTGGACCCCCAAACCTCAAGACCCTAAACTAAACTTTAAAAGCCTGAATTTCCAAAAACCTCATCCCCTAAAGACAAACCGCTAAAACTAAAGGATCCCGGACCATCCCGAACCTTTACACTCTGAAGCTCGCAAGCCCCAGAAGACCCAAGCCAGCTTCCAGGCACCTCCCGGCTCTGCACAGCTGGGAGGAGTGATTCCAGCTCCGGCTCCTGGGGCCGTCAATCGTTCCCTGAAACCCAAAACGGTTTAGGGCTTAGGGTTTAGGGAAAACATCTTGAAAGCCTGAAGCCCCAAACGGTATGTGCTTCGAGCCTAAACCTTCGAACTCTGAACCTCAAACCTGAAGGCCGAAAAGCCGTAAACCCTATACCATGTGTTTCACCCCAGTCTTAAGGCTTTGCAGCAACAGCGAAGGCTTGAACCATTCAGTTTAAATCAAGATTTGTGGTAATACTAGTTCGTAAACATATCGGGGGGGGATGCTCGTCAGCTTGGTTCGGTAGCCTTTAATATTGTGCTCCGGAAGCTTCCCGCTGAGGGGTACTGTGCTATTACATGGGTTTCAAACGTATATCTTGCGGGTATTTCGTGGGTAATAAGCATGAGAGCAGGACTTAGGAGCCTAAGCAGTTGAAGGCAAGTTCCGCGGAGTGGTGTACTGCATTGGTATGGTGATGAATAAAGAAGATCTTCTCCTACTCTCATTCTCCAGAAACTGGTGCAGAGCCTGCGATAACAGGAGTCGGCACATTGTATCATCGGAGCAGGGTTTCGACTTGGCTGAAGGGCTCAGCGTCAACAAACTACGCAATCTAAAGACATTCAGAATTCCATGGCTGCAGGGGTTTTTAGGGTTGGGTTCGGAATGCCTCCCCTCTCTCTGGAACCTCTACAAATTGCATGTGAAGCTTCGGACAGCACATCTGAGATCTGAAAGAAGCTACTGGAAATCCCCAGCCATGTACCGCTATACACCATCATATACCTCTATTTGCGAAGCATTCAAGAATTCTGGAATAAAACCACGCACCCTCTGATCCCAAGTGGCAAAGCTCCTAAAGCCCAGTACCCAAAACTACATGCTCGATTGAAACCCTGCCAGGGCCGTTTAGAATGCAGAGATACTATGCGCAGCATCGAGGCTTTACGGTAAAGCTCAGAAATAGCAACACCAGTCATCTAATCCCAAACAAGGCACCTCGCGTTGAGCAGCACCATGCATCCTAAAGGAGAGACGTGGGCAGGTTGCGGCCGCACAAGGTCGGGTTCTGGTTTTGGCTAGGTTTCAGGAAGCAGGGCCGTGGCTTTTTGTTCCTCACTGGCACTTCGGCATGCCAACGCGCGAAGAAAAGCGGGCATGCCGAAGCACAAACAGCCCCGCCAAACACTGCTGAGGTTATATAGTTGTATACGTCGTGTGGATGTTTCTGAATACGCCCACTGCAAGTTCTGCAACTTATGGCCTTGCTTCTTCAGGGATGGAATGTTGAAGCCCAGGTTTTCGCGGTTGACGATTGACATTCTGCAGAACAGCTTGCCGTATCGGAGCCAGCTTTCGGGTGGCAAATCCACGGCCTTCAAGACGGAAGCCCCGGAGCATGTTGAGAGGGGTACCTGGGGCATCTAAATCTAATGCTGCCGCGTTGCTGCAGAGTCTGCCGGGCCGCATTCATCTCGCGCTGTGCCTCTCGCATGTAGCCTTTCGCGAGGCAGCAAGCAAGGGAGGAGTAGACATTTATTCCGGAATGCTACAAACTGTCATGCTTCGCATGCTATTGTGTTACCCTGAGCTCGACTCTCGATTTTCTGAGCCACGTTGTGCATTCTTCCTGTCGGACGCTTCTTCCAGACTTCGGCCAGGGCACTTTCAGTCATCTCCTGGGCAGTGGCAAGAGAAGCTCTTGTACAGAAAGCAGAACCCGCCAAAGAAGATAAGAAGTCTGTTTTTCAAATGCAGGTTGAAACACACTGAAGATATTGGGACAAGGACACAAACGATTGGCATGATACCTGCAATAGGCGTGTTGAAGCGTGACAAAAGGATTTGGGAGGCTATTGATGTTCTCCCACACGGGGACGTTAAAGCCTCTGCCCTAAGCATAGACCGGACATGTGTGCACATGCAGACGTTTATAACCCCTTAACTCCACACGTGCTAAGACACCCTAAGCCATGATCCTGTGTTCCCCGATGAGTAGTACCTGATGAGCTCTTGCAAGTTGTTTTGCGCCTGGAAAGGAAGGCCGAATCTCCTGGCCAATGGGTTTCAGGGTGAAGCGCAGAGTGTAGATTTTTTTATAGTTCAGCGCCGCATGGAGTTCAGGATTTGAAGTCCTCAGTTGCATTCAGGGTTTATGGGAAGGATTGCACGGAAGCTCTCATACATACATATGTGCACATACACATTATACAGTGGAGTCGAAATCAGAAACGCGCAGGCATACCGCAAGCTCTCCCCACACCCTGCATGCTTGACTCCCGCATCCCCAAGCTGAGAAAAACCCTAAATCCCAACCCTCAAGCGTGGTGCCTTTCTGGGGCTTAGAGAAAGAGTTCTCCGAATTCAGTGCGATCTCACTTGGGGCTTCTGTAGCACCGTAGAGCTTACCCTCACTATGCTTCCGGATAAGGGCTGAACTATAAATGTTGCTTGTCCTCACTATTGTCACAATGATCTGCCACAATCGGCGTTATCTTATCACAACTCTCCGGTTCCTCTCACTTCCGAGGCTGCGGCGGTTATGGGAGCAAAGGCCAGGCGCCCCTGACCAGTGTTTTTGCGGTTTAAAGTTTCAGAACTTGACTGTGGAAGGTTTCGCGATTGACAGGTTCCGGGCTTGAGGTGCTGAGGGGTTGGAGGCGTTGAGAACAGGAAACGCACCCTGACAAGCCGCATGCCCTAAACTCCACAAACTCCTCAAGCGCAAACCCGAACCCCGCAGCCCTGAACCATCCTGAACCGTAGATCCAACCCCTGTAGGCACTCCAACCACACCCGCTACACCAAAACAGTGCCTTGGTGTTTATCCACCGCTGATCGGGAGCCGACGAAAGGTCGCCTGCGCTACACAAAAATCTGCGAGGCCTCCAAACCGCGTGCTGGGTTTTGGGTTTAGGGTGGGTTTGGCGTTTATACGTTTGTAGTAGTGTAAGATGCAGCATCCGGGTCTGCAGTTCGGGGACTTGTGCATTGATTTAGGGCTCCAGGCGGGGCTTTACGGTTTGGAATTGCTGATAGGTTTTGTCATTTCAGTTCACGTGCCTGAGGCTTAAGATTCGACATGCAACCCAGCCCCAAGCATGTCTTGTCAGAGATCTTGACATTTTGACAACCTCCGAGCCTTCCCTTCCCTCCCACTTCGAGCTTGGCCCAGTTGGAGCAGCTACGATATACAGACGGAGTTGAACAGGACAGTATTTCTGAGAACGAAATCTTCAGATCTCGCAGGAGCTGAAGCACCATGACGAG